GGGGGGGGCGGAGGTAGCGATTTCCTGATGTTACAGGGTAAGTAACAAGCAAAGCAGAATGTGATAAACTACATTTGGGCTTACGGTCTGACCTAATGCACATATGTTCTACTCTGGTTGCTGGACTGACATCTCAACAGATACTTCTAAATGGTAATTACACTACGTACATGAACATTTTTCATACCCTCCACATAAATAATAACTTCAGACATAATACCTCCCCCCCCCAAAAAAAAACCAAAACATGCAAACACACAAGTTACCATTTAAATGTATATTCTTTATTTAAAATTGATTTATATCACACAATTGAACGATTTTCTCCATTTAACCATATTAAATTCCTTTGGTCCTTCAATAAATAAAATTAACATATCATTTACAACACTTGTATTACTTATACAAGTCTAATACAATTCAAAAGGTAATGTGTTATTTTATCACCTGTTGATATGAACATTTTATTTCATACAATAGTAGTGAAGGGGAAAAAAATACGTGAATTAAACATTGTAATTCAGTCTGACTATTCTCAGTTGCCTTCACTCAGATAATGGAGTTTTAAAAAAACATGTATCTCCATGACAATAAAAGGAACGGCAGCTCCTCCTCCTCTTCAGCTGCCCAACTATTTGTCCCATCAGCACCAGCAAAAACGGAATGAAATATTTGCACCTATAAATCATTCGGCTGGGGACAGCCAATCTATCTCAAAAAAAAAAAAAAAAAAAAAACCTGTTGCTCTTTTTCTCTGTCTTCTTATGACTTTTTCTTTAATTGTTAAGTGCTATCAGAAGTAAAGCCTTTCACCGAGCACGAACTTTCATAAAGCTGGCTATTGTCCAAATTCCTACTGCCCCCCCATACCCCTTTAGAGAAATGAGAGGGAATTTCAAGGTTAATGCTCGCTGTCCACAATAGACCAGACTGCATGGATATGAGACAGACCATAAAAAACCATTGTTTACTGTCTACAGGAAAATGCCATTAAAAAAATAATTTAATACTATTAGAAAACAATAAAGTAACATGAGAACAGCAGATCACTCTCTGATGAAAACTGCATATGTCCACTTACTGACAATTGTGACTTTTCTCTGCTCATTCTCCGCTGTCTATGGATAGTGTTTGACATCCAATTGACCAATGAAAAGACGTTCTGTGAAGGCATCTATTTAAATAGTATTTATGTTAGTATTAGTTATCTTTTACGATGGACGTTTGTATCAATTATATTGCTCAATTTAACAACTTATCGTTGTTAGCTACTGTTAATTATGAACATAAGGTGAGATTAATATGCATCTTGTTGACACTGACTTATTTGCCTTGCTGACAATCCATTTTAAATATTAAAGCGTTAACTGACGGCTGTGTATAGATAGGTTTCCATTTCTGATGCGAAGGGTGTCTCATTACATGGTCTGAGGTTTGTTTTGCAAAGTTGTTTTCCTAAAATAATGGAATTTTGGAGATGCATGTTTTTAACTGGACAGTGACAATAGACAAAACTAAATTTCACAAAGGAAAACCTCATGTTAGGACCAATACAGGACATACTGTATATAACAAGATATTGACAATGTCAAGTTTCATTATTATTATTTTTTTTTAATATTAGTTACATTCCATTTCAGGACATGATCTGATGTGCAAATGCAAGCTGTCCATGCATACACACCAACTTGCAGCTCTATCAATATCTAACATGCAAAACACTGGGTAATGGGAAGAATGGCGAGAGCGACATAGTGTGTGCTTTCCAGCTGCTCTGCATACTCACCATTGAAACGTGAGCAGCACCAACCAGGAACACCAGAACAGGAACAGGGCCCTTGATCCATGACCTCTCCACGCCTACTTTAAGACATGGACAGAACGGTTGGGAAACACTGTTTGGGGGGGGGGGGG